CTAGAGTTCTGTTTGAAGCTTCGTGGTTCTGAGGCTAGTGTCTTGGAGGAATTGGCAAAGGCAATAAATTTGGTCCATATTCGGCAAGACCTTGTTGAAAGTGGTCATGCGCTATTGAACCATGCTTACCGTGCTCAACAAGAATATGCAAGGTAATAAATTACTGTTTATCTTCTTGGAAGTTACAATTGTATAGAAGTCATCTGTTTTTCCTTTTCCCCTCTCTTTGTTTGTATAAGTAGATAGTGCTTCATCTGAAATCGATTTGGCTATTCTTTCTTAGGCATCATGTGGTTGTTGCTTTTATGTTTGTCATTTGCTTTTCAAAAAAAAAAAGTACACTTGGATACAAAGTCGAAAACTGTTTTTAAATAATTAAAAGTGAGTAATTATTTTTGTTAAATATGGTGAACTATATGATTTTACTATCAAATCACTCATAAGTGTGTTAAATTTTAGTATTTTTTGATTAATTATTGTTTTGTCATTTGTTTTTTTCTCACTTCATATTACCTTTTAAGAAGCAGAAGAAAAATATAAAAATACAAATAGTAAAAGAAACAACCATGATAATGTTTGACATACATTTTTGGACAGAGTATATATATGAAGTGGTAGATTCTTGTATTAGATGTAGTCTTATACAATTCTTATTATTATTTGTTGTGTGCCTTCTTGCTGCATGATGCAGGACAACAAATTATTGTTTGAATTTGGCTGCCGAGCAAGATAAGATTGTCGCAGAGAAATGGCTATCTGAACTTAGATCTGCAGTTTTGAATGCTCAGAAGTGCTTGGAGGACTGCAAATACGTGAGGGGTTTGGTAAGTAACGGCATTATTGTTTTGGCCATATCATTACAGCTCTTGCTATGTGCATGTGTATTCTACTGTTTTCTTCAGTTTATATGCAACCTATTTGAATATTAGTATGGTAAAAAGAAAGAAATCAATTGGTTTTTTGATAATCATGAGTGCGGGTTGGAGTTGTGAATCAGAGTGAGGTAGGGAGCAGTGTGATAGACTGGTTATTTACTGGGGACGATGTTTCTGGCCATAGCAATGACCTTATTTGTTTGTTTATTTATTTATTGTGAGAAGAGAAACAAGGGAAAGGGGATTGGGAATTGGGAATTGAACTTGTTTATATCAAAATACAAGGTCTATGCTATTCAAGCACTCTCTTTTCCTTAAAGTACCAGTGTTAAACTTATGTGTCCGACGTGTACCTACATACACTCTATTTTCCATAGATTTGCCTTCATTCTTTAACATCGTGTTGCAGCTTGACGAGTGGTGGGAGCAACCGGCATCAACTGTTGTTGATTGGGTTACAGTTGATAGACAGAATGTTGGAGCTTGGCATTCTCATGTAAAGCAACTTCTTGCATTTTATGATAAGGAAGTTTTGTGAAACTTTGTTTGCTTACTGGGAAACACACTTTCTACACTAAAGCCCTGTACGTGTATGTAGTAGTATGGTTTGAATTTCCCAGAAGAAAACACTATAAAAACACAAGTTACCTCTCTTTGTGTTGTAAAGAGATTTTTGCCAACTTGTGAAATGATCATCTGCTTACAATGTAGCTTTCTTTTCAGCAGTGATTCATAAAATCATATCTAAATTTACTTTTGTTTCAGTTTGAACAATGTAGATATCTCAATTCGTTACTCGAATTTGCTTTATTTACAAGGTGGTTCAAATGTTTGATGGATACTATTTTTTAAAATTAATTATGGTTTTGGACAACAATATTCGAATAGTAAATTATTTTAAGATCAAATTCCAATTCAAATATTAAAAATTTATAAATATTTGATTAGTTGTCCCCTATTTGCAAAAAGCAGGATGAAATATGAAGAACATGATCCAGCAAAAATAATTACATTCTCGTGAATAATTCCTCATACTTCTCATGGCATCGGCACATGATATCTGTGGCTGCTCGTCATCATGCAGGAACCACTCCAACTATCCAATATTGTTGAATTTATAACATCAAATTCAATAGAACCAATTCTATAATTGTAAATCTAATTCCCAACCATCTCCAAATTCAAACCTCCATCCCCAAATCATACATTCCTTTTGATACTCTACACTTTACAGTTCACTGGTTTTTGCATGAATGATATAAAGAAGGTTGATAGGCTGCACTATAAAAATTGCTCCAAGTTCAGGGCATTAATTCAGAACAAAAAAAAAAAGGAAAAGAAAACAGAGGTATTTGAAGAGATTTGAAAGATGAAAATCACTTGGTTTTCCTTAATATTGTTGCTTACTTTAACAATCAATAATCTATCAGAGGCTAGTCATGGACATAAGCTACATTCTGCTGTTGTTTCTGGATCTGTTCACTGTGATATTTGTTCCCAAGATTTCTCAAAAGCCCATCATTTCATTCCTGGTCAGCTGTTTTACTACTTGCGAGATTTTTGTATTTTGATCTGTTTAGTTTGATTTTTTTTCTGGGATTTTGTTTCTGCAGGTGCATCAGTTGCAGTGGAATGTAAAGATGGGGATACGAGGCTGATTTTTCGACAAGAAGTGAAAACCGACCAGCACGGAGAATTCAAAGTTCGTTTGCCATTCTCAGTAACCAAAAAAGTGAAGAAATCAAGAGATGTTCAGTGAAACTTGTGAGAAGCAGTGAGCCATACTGTGCAGTGGCCTCATCTGCAACTTCATCATCACTACACCTCAAGTCATCAAACCAAAGAACCCACATTTTCTCAGCTGGGATTCTCAGTTTCAAGCCACAGAAACAACCAAAAACATGAAACAAGAAACCAAAAGTTGCAGATTCCAAGGAATCCAACACCAAAAGCACCATGGAATTTGGGGAACCAAACTATCCCATATTTCCACCTCCACTCCAAGACCCTGCAACAGTACCACAGCCAACTCCATTGCTTCCCAGTCTGCCACCATTACCACAACTCCCTCAACTCCCCCCTCTCCTCCTACCCCTTCCATTGCTCCCTATTCCACCCATTCCTGGAAAGAATTAGACATCTCAAACTGTGATATTAATCAATATGAAAGCGCAGCCTAATTTGTAAAACCAACCAAATATCACTCTTCTACTTTCTGTCGTATCAGAATTATTATGTTGAAGTTCACTAGTTGTCATGTTGACCACTCTATTTCCCTTCATTTAAGATTTGTAATTTAACGTGGTTTACATTTAATGGAAAATTTTAATCTGATCTATGTAATGTGAGTTTGATATTTCAGAATTTAATGCAAAACTGATAGTAAAAATGTGAGTTTGTAATGCTCACAATGTGGACTTCTATGAGAGAATGTTGAGCACATTCTTTGTTCTTATCCCACCGATAAATAATCCAACACCAACATTGTTTAAAAGTACTCCAACTTACCCGTGAATCCAGAAAAGAACAAAAAAAAAAAATTAATTGACAGATCCATTTTCTTTCATTTTATTTATACTAAACAAATCTTTAATATTCAACCGCTTTGGTGACGACTTTTTTTTTATGTAAATGAATTAATGATTATCTCTACTTCACAAAGGATGCGAAATTACTGAACGAACTACAAATTACAGTGTCATCTTCAAGTTGACACCAATGTCATTGGGGTGACTCGTGGACTTATTCTGTGGCTACTCCAAAAGGTCTCGTGAACCAAAGGTGAAACAAGTTCCTTATAAGCACCATATCCTTGTTCCAGGAAGGAAAACAGAGTTGAAAGATGTGTGGGTTTCTCTTAACATTGCTGCTCAGTTTCTTCATTTTTAATGTTACCTCATAGGGTAGCCATGGATCAGCTGCTGTTGTTGTTGGAACTGTGTATTGCGACACGTGTTTCCACCAGGATTTTCCAAGGGCCACCCATTTCATTTCAGGTTTTATATTTAATTATTAGCTGCAATTCACCTATGTTTCTTCTCAACCCTGTTCTGTCTGTAGGTGCAACTGTTGCAGTGGAATGCAAAGATGTCGAGAGTCCAAGGCCAAGCTTTCGGCTACAAGTGAAAAGTAACAAACATGGCGAGTTCAGAGTTCGTTTGCCGTTTCCAGTGAGCAAACACGTGAAGCAAATCGAGGGGTGTTCGGTGAAATTGATTAAAAGCAGTGAACCATATTGTGCGGTGGCTTCGTCGGCAACTTCTTCTTCACTCCATCTCGAGTCAAGGAAGCAAGGAGCTCATGTTTTCTCAGCTGGGGTTTTCACCTTTAAGCCATTGAAACAACCTTTCTTGTGTAACCAGAAACCGAGTGTTGATAGCTTGAAACAACTCAAAAACAAACCACCACCGTTATCTATTCACCCGAATCAGCTTCTGCCTCCGCCACTGCTTCCTCCAAACCCACTTCAGCCACCGCCATTGCTTCCTCCAAACCCACTTCAACCACCGCCATTGCTTTCTCCAAACCCACTTCAGCCACCGCCAGCTCCGCTAGTTCCAAATCCACTTCAGCCTCCACCAGCACCGGTTACACCATCTTTGCCGCCAATTCCAGGGCTAACTCCTCCACCATCTCCGCCGCCGTCACCATCACCCGGATTCCCGTTTCCTCTTCCACCATTTCCTTTCACTCCTGTTCCTCCCTTCCCTGGCGTCCCCCCAGCGAATCCCAATAATACCTTTTTAACATTCTTGTCAGTCTCTTGTAATTTGTCCTAAACGCAAATTCCCAATAATAATCACTGTGTCACAATTATCGTACCATAATAAATTAAATCCTGGAGTATTCAAATCCAGGATACAAATTGTAATTTTGGAGATGTCATTAAGCACTTTTGATTATCTAACATGCTGAGATGGGGAATCCATTTCACCCAACTTAATAATGAAAGGAAAGTACGGTACCAACAATGGGTTTTGAAATGTGAGAATAAAAAACACAAGAAGAAAAAATATTACCAAATTTGTAAATTTAGGAGTTCATGATTAGCTAAGGCCACATTTCTTCCATGTTTTTCCTTTTACTTTTGTGATCACAGTAAATAGTAATAAGAAAATAGCTTAGTTTTCCTACTTGATGCAGATTGCACACCATATTTCTGCATAAATTTACTGCTGATTATATCGCATTTGTTTCTGATGCCAACTCTCGCCCTGCAGTTTCCGCTTCTTGTTACGATCATCAGCATTATCACTTGGACCCTGAGCAGTAAGTTGGCAATAGAAGATTATTCACACACAAAAATTTAAGTTAATATTATAACAAACTTATAGTTTTATCATCTCCGACAATAATAGTTTGTAGCATTCCTAAAGAGATAAATCACTTACAGATACATTAACAGCAGGTTCTTCTGATGATCCTGGTCTTTGAGTGTTGATCTGACTGATGTTGCTATTGCCATTAATCTTGTTTTTATCGTTATGAGCTTTGTTTTTGGAATTGATTATTTGAAGAAGAATGCCTGAATCAGATCCTGCAACATAGTTATTTTTCTTTTCAAATTTAGTGTAGCATGAACCTCTTTCTTTTTTCCATTTTCGTTTAGAATGAAATCAAAGCTACTTTTGCATAGAATGCATGGATCGTGATACAAGAACAAAGCCAAGTTTTCCGAAAGTACCAAGACGAGACTCGATGGCGATCTGTGCGACTAACTGTTCTGCTTCTTTCTTGCTTCGGCAAACTCTGCCACGATAAGTTTCACCATCGAAAACCAATGAAGATAGATAAACTGGGTGCAGCTTATCCTGTTGGATAGTTGTGTATTTAGGACTCGTTAGATTCAGCCTAAAAGCAAACTCATTAAGGATTGATTTACAACATTTTGGACCCTACACAAAAAGGGTTCACTTGGTCAGAAATTAGAAAACAAAACCAAGTTAAATGGTTGTAAAATGTTCAAGTTTCTTTATAGTACCCGATAAAGAGCAGAAGTGGTGAGCTTCTTGTTCTCTTCCATGGTTGCACTGGTTTGTGTGATGGCTTGAAGAGCAATTTTGGCAATGTTTTGCTCCGCTTGTTTCCTGTGTGGGAAAGTTTGGTGAGAAGTGTAAGTGGTTCGATCGACACGAACCGTGGCCCTGAACTTCGGGGCATGAGGGAACCCTTCGCTGCTGCTCTCGTAAACCGGAAGATCTAGCTCTGATTTCTGAGCATATTCTTGTAAACGATTCTTATGCAACAGATGCTCTGGTAATCCTGAATAAACCACATCAAAATGTTCTTAATATCCCACATCGATTACTAAATGTATTAGTTTAGAAGAACACAAACAAACCTTGGCTCATTATGGCCTTTCTCTTTGCAATTGTATAATACTAAGTTGCAGAAGCAGAAGGAACTGAATTCAAAAAGCATGGCTCAATGAAAATGTCTTGTACACTTAAAGGGACGGTCTTGATTTGTCTACTGTAAGTGAAATTCATCCGACGGTCCATATCGAGACATTTGGTGGGTTAAACTTTATTACTCCAAAGTACTAACAACAGGACAATGAACATCCTATTCTAATGGGATATTTGTAGAAGAAAAGAGGAACCGTATAATTCATTTTTTTTAAATGTTGGCTAAATAAATTTAGAGTATAATATACAAATAGTCACTAAGCTATGTTGAGTTATCTTTTCGGTCATTGAAATTTTGAAATTTATAAACAAAAAATTAAACTTATCGTGATACTACAAAATGATCATTATATGTTATAAAGTAGTGATAAATTTTGATAAATTAAGGATTATTTTGTAATAATTTGATAGTTTAGTGCCTATTTTGTAATAGTTTGACAAATTACAATCATTCTATAATCATTTATAAAATTTAATTATCATTTTATCATTTTGAAATTTTAATGATAAAAATATCATTTCAGTATAGTTCACCCATCAATGGTATACTTTACCCATAATTTACGGCAATAAATAAAAGTATTAGAATTTCACATTCAATTAGTTTATCTTCAAAATTATATTACTAAAAATTGATACACATTTTGATTATCTACACATGATATCTAACTTTATACTCCATTAACATTTTAAAGTTGTGTAAATAAATGATTTTTAATAATATAATAAGTATTTTTAAATTTATGCAAGTAGAATACATATTGACATCCTTTGCTAATAGGAGTATGTAAAATAATCCGATCCGCATATTTTGAATATTTGATCTACTTTTTTTTAATAATTCAGATTAAATATTATTTTTTTGTATAATTAGAATGAATACGGATCGAACAAATTTTAATTTTAAATTATCTGGAAATTCAAAAATTTATGAACCTTTAAATTATATTATAGATAGCCTCCCTAATCTCTAGTCCAATAAAAGTTAATCCAAAAGACAACCCAATCGAGTAACCCTCTAACTTAACTAAGAATGTATAAGGAAAGACAACTTAATATAACACTAATAAAATATATTATAGAAAATATTAATTTTAACATTTCCGTTAGAGTACTACTTAAAATGTTATTTTTCCTACCGAAAATATAATCGGGTATACTTAAAATATTATTTTTTACCGAAAATATTAATATCGAAAATATTCATTTTAGATTTTAGGTAACAAAATTCCTAAATTCCCTCCAGTTTCACACACAAACTTCTCACGCACACGCATGACAATAAGAGATACTTATATCTCAAAATTCCCAAATCCCCTCATCTACTCCTTTCTGGTCTGTGGCTGTAAATATTAAACAGTTCCAAAAACATAGAAATTGTGGTTACATCCTGTTGAAAGTATTAGTTCAAAGTTTGGCAACCAACTTTGAAAAAATGGTTTTCAAAGTTTGGTAAATGTTTCTTTGAAAATAGTTTTTCAAAGTTTGGTAGATGTTTGTTGAAAAATGAGATAATTACAAATAGTCATTGCACTTTAAGGTACTTACAGATTAGTCCTTAAGCTTCAACTATAAATACCCTAACCCATTTAGCTTCAATATTATCCCAAAATCATTTCTTTCTCCCAATACTAGAGAGTTTTCTTGTGAGTAGTGAGTGTTTTGTAAACACCTGTAAATTTTCTCTCTTAGTAAAAGATCTGCAACAGTCTGGAGACGTAAGCAAATTGACTTAACTCCGTTATCAATTTCGGGTATTATTTTTTCGCTTTTATTTCGCATTCTCACTAATTTGGTTATAGAGAAATTGTTTCATTTATTTCCCAACAACTGGTATCAGAGCTTTTGGTTGTGAATTTGTCAATTTTTGCGAGGTTACTATTCACATAAATAGTAAATTTCGTGAATAGTAAAATTTGGTTGGCGATACGAATTTGTCGACGGAGATGTTCTAATACACGATGATTGTCAAGAATTGTCAGAAACGATCCAAACAAAACCAGATTCGAGTGAGAGCGATGGCTGCAGACGAATGGAATGTGAAAATTGAAAAGTTCGATGGTGCGGACTTTGGCTTTTGGAAGATGCAGATTAAAGATTTTCTGTACCAAAAAAATCTATATCAACCTCTCTCAAGAAAGCAACCAGAGGGCATGAAAAATGAAGATTGAGTTCTTCTCGACAGACAAGCCCTCGAGTTATTCGACTGACGTTGTCCCGAAATATTGCTTTTAACATAGCAAAGGAAAAGACCACGGCGGATCTTATGGCGGTTCTCTCCAGCATGTATGAGAAGCCATCGGCCTCAAACAAAGTTCACTTGATGAGGCGATTATTCAATTTGCGGATGACGGAAGGTGCATCAGTGGCTCAACACCTAAATGAACTCAACACAATCACAACCCAGTTGAGTTCCGTGGAAATTGAATTCGATGATGAAGTTCAAGCTTTAATTCTCTTATCATCTCTACCAGACAGTTGGAATGCTACTGTTACAACGGTCAGCAGCTTGTCGGGAAACAACAAATTAAAATTCGACGATGTTCAAGATCTTGTATTGAGTGAAGAAATTCGACGGAGAGAATCAAGTGAAGCATCAAGCTCCTCAGCCTTGCTCACGGAGTCTAGAGGGAGAACTTCAGAAAGAAATTCAAATCGTGGCAGATCGAAATCCATAAGGGGAAAATCAAGAACGGGAAAAAAAGATTTTACCTATTATAATTGTGGCAAGAATAGTCACTTTAAAAGAGATTGGCGAGCACTGAAGAAAGATACCGGCGCACAGGAATCTGCCAACATAACAGAGGAGACAAGCGATGCCATGATTCTAAGCGTCAACAGTCCGATTGAATCATGGATCTTGGATTCAGGGGCATCTTTAAAGGAAACGTCCGATTAAAGTTGCCAAACCATACCACCTGTACGCTGAAAGGAGTAAGACATATTCTTGACCTCAAAAGAAATTTGATTTCTGTAGGACAGCTTGATAGAGAAGGATATAGTACAACCTTTTCAAGCTGTAAATGGAAGATTACCAAATGAGCACTCGTCATTGCTCGTGGTAAGAAGATTGATACTCTCTATGTAACCTCAAACTTAGAGAATATCATTGCAGTAGTAGATGCTGATGAAAAATCAAACCTATGGTACCAAAGGCTTGACCATATGAGCGAGAAAGGGATGAATACACTTTTATCAAAAGGGAAGCTGCCGGATCTAAAGAGTGTAGATGTCGGACTATACGAGGATTGCATCTTTGGTAAACAAAAAAAATTCAGTTTTGCAAAGATTGGCAAGATACCCAAGGCAGAAAAGTTAGAGTTGGTTCATACTGATGTATGGGGACCATCTCCAGTTCTATCTCTTGCAGGATCACTATATTATGTCACCTTCATCGATGATTCTACAAGGAAGGTGTGAGTTTATTTTCTGAAGAAGAAAACAGAAGTCTTTGATACATTCAGAAAATGGAAGACCATGGTGGAAAATGAGACTGGTCTGAAAGTCAAGCGGTTGAGGTCTGACAATGAATGAGAGTATAGAAATAGTAGATCAGAGATTTGCGTGCAAACATTGGGATCAAGATGGAGACAACAGTTCCATGACACCGCAGCAGAATGGTGTAGCAGAGCGCATGAACAAAACTCTAAATAAACGTATCAGAAGCATGAGGATACATGCCGGATTGCCAAAATTGCTATGGGCTGAAGCTATCAACACTGCAACTTACCTGATCAACCGTGGGCCCTCAGTTCCTTTGGATGGCAGAATACCAGAGGAAGTTTGGAGCAAGAAATAAATAAACCTTTCACACTTAAGAGCGTTTGGTTGTATTTCTTATGTACACATAAATTATGCTGAAAGAAGCAAACTTGATGCCAAGTCCAACAAATGCATCTTTGTTGGTTATGGTGGTGATGAGTTCGGATACCGATTTTGGGACTACGAAAATCAGAAGATCATCAGAATAAGAGATATCATTTTCAATAAAAATGTGATGTACAAAGACAGGTCAACCATAGAATCAAGTAGCTCCAATACCGAAGCTGAAACAAAGGAATTTGTTGAGTTTGAGGAGATTTCTGGAAATGATGTTCAGATCAGTCCTGAAGCTGTTCAATAAGAACCAGACACACCAGAACTGAGACGCTCCTCCAGAATTCCTAAACCAACTCAACGTTATTCGCCTTCTTTGCACTACTTGTTGCTGACTGACAATGGTGAACCAGAGTGCTATGATGAAGCAATACAGGTGGAGGATTCAGTCAAGTGGGAGTCTTCCATGAAAGATGAGATTGACTCGCTTATGTCAAATCAGACGTGAGAATTAGCTGAATTACCACTAGGCAAGAAAGTGCTCCATAACAAGTGGATTTACAAGATCAAAGAAGAGCTTGATGGGAGAAAACGCTACAAGGCAAGATTGGTTGTCAAATGTTTTCAGCAAAAAAAAGGTATTAACTACAATGAAATTTTCTCTCC